CATGCACTCACACACTCTTACTCTCACTCACTCACACACTCACACTCATACTGACACTCACGCATGCACTCACACACACACACCCTCACTCACTCATGCACTCACACACTCATACTCTCACTCACTCTCACACACTCATACTGACACTCACTCATGCACTCACTCACTGATTCATGCACTCACACTCACACATGCACTCATGCACTCACACACTCACCCATGCACTCACACACTCACTCACACTCATACTCTCTCACACACACTCATACTGACATTCACTCATTCAGTCATTCATGTACTCACACACTCACTCATGCACTCACACACTCATTCACTCACTCATTCACACTCCTACTCTCACTCAGTCACACATACTCATACTGACACTCATGCACTCACTCACTCACTCACTCATTCATGCACTCACACACTCACTCACTCATGCACTCACACACTCACCCTGAAACTCACACATGTACTCACTCACACACTCAAGCACTCACTCACTCATACAGTCAGTCAGTCAGTCACTCGCTCATGTACTCACTCACTCACTCACTCACTCACTCACTCACTCCCTCACTGAGTCAATGGCCATCCCGACTCAGAGTGACCCTGTCGGAAGAGTAGAACGGCCCCTGTTCATTTCCAAGATGGTAACTCTTGACATGAGTAGACAGCTTCATCTTCTCCCCACAGAGCAGCTGGTAGTTTCAAACCGATGACCTTGCCAACCCACTACACCACCCCACCTCCTTGGTCCTGTGCATCGCAGGTTGTTTAGTAGCATCCAGTACCAACCCTCCCAGTTGTGACACCCCAAACTGTCTGCAGATAGTGCTACCCGTCCCCTCGGGGCACAATCATCCCTCTCGAGAAGCACTGGTTGAGGGAGACAGAACAAACCCAGGCGAGCGCTTCAAGAAGAAGAATGAGCCTGATGATGACCTTTCTCCATGTGCACATCCGTTTTGTAAAAATAGCAACTGGAGAGCGAGGCTCATGAATCAGTATGAAAGAGTCCCTCTGTAGGAAACAAAACCAAGACACGAAACTTTAACCAGCTGCTTAAAACAAAGACTATGTTTTAAAAAGTGGTACAGCCACCACGTTCTCACGATCCAGTTCTTGTGAAGGCTTTGCTTGAACGCGTGTGAAGGGGGAGACTGGTCACAGCAACAGAGATGATGATTGCTCTCGGGGAAGGATCTAGGGAAGACACA